CTCGTTTTGTGTACCCTTAAAATAAATATATGGACGTGAAAAGTTATGGGTTCACCTGCCCAACCACATGGCTTTTCTCTGGGTACTCCGGTTTCCTTCCATATTGGGAGCCCCTGTGCACTACCATCCGAGCATAGAACATGTAAATAGTTTTTGTAAAATAAAGTTGGTGTTTTTAAATATACACAGCTATTTGTAGTTAATTAATATGCATTAGAGGGTGTTTGCGTCCTGGTCAACTTTGAATAAGACTTTCAAGGCCTGCATTAATAATTGAAAATATTACATTTAAAAATTAAGGGACCAGACCATAATCAACATCATCTAAAAGGCCCCTGTATATCATCAGTACACAGTAACACTAAAACTATTGTCAACTCGCTATCAACATGATTGTATTGTTCAATAAAACTGGCAGACCATCTTTAGAACTTTTTCTTCAAGCATCACATATATATGTATACAGACGAATTGCTACATATCAATTCATGTGAAATTCAGGTCAAATTCATGTCAATTTCATGTCATTTTTGTTTTTTAATTTATTTTTGGTGGTAAAATGGACCTGAAATTGACACGAAATTTTACTGGAATTCACAGGAGGATTTTTTAAGGTCAAACTTATCTGAAGAGATTTTGCCTGTGTTAATGTAATTCAGTGGACTGGACCAAAGTATTCCATTCATAAACAAATTCATTCATAAACAATTTCACTTATAAAATGTTGATTTACATGTACATGTATTTACATATGCATTCTATTCACAATTTTCATTAATATAATACAGATCTGCTTTGGTCTACTTAACTAATTCACCCCTAAAGACACATTTGAACTCCTCCAATTCAAAGGTTGGAATAGTTCATTATAAAATTTCAGGGGTGAATGAGTTAATTCTATTCCCATTTATACATTATATATTGCAGTGACCGGTACCCACACAGGAATATTAACAGTATCCCAGTCACTAGAAACAGGAAAAGCAGTTGGATCAGAACTAAAGCATGAGGGTAACAGGTATATCACTGATTCAAAACTCTCAAAAATTAACACAAATTATAAAATGAACTTAAACTGAAACAAAAATGAACACAGGTGGATTCAATTACCACAATCGCATTGGGTATAAAAATCAGGCAACTTAAACAGGGGACAACCAAAACCAGCATCACAAGTTTGTGATGGCAAAGCTTCAGCTCAATATAGTGATGATATTTCATACGTGTTTGGTCCCAATCTTTGTCGTGTAGACAGATTATGTTAATCAGAAATGAAATTGACACAACAGGGATTGGTTTAAAATGAACTTATACTCAAATGCAATATTGTCTTTTTATGATGAAATATTTCCCCCTAAATACTGTGATCAATGTGACACTGCTGTGTTACCGTTCTAATAAGTTTTGTTTTCTACACCACAATTGTATGTACATTTATATCATACATATTATACACTATATATATTTATACAATGTATTGTGGTTTATTGCAAAACACCCAATCAGATCTATAATATGTAATAATTACTTGTTCCACCTAAACTTGCAGAAATTGATAACAATAAAGAATACTTGCAATGGCTCTGAGGGTCCATTTTCAGACCTTGATTTAGAGTAAAACAGACAATACAGATATTGAAGGGTTGTCATCACTGACATAGCTGCTGTGCTGTGCTATAACAAAGGAGTCTCCATGTGTAAAACACTATTTTTGAAATATGATTTCTGAAACATTGCACACATATTCACACAGCTTATCTTCTGCTTAAGGATCCCTGTCCCACAGCACTGAGGTTTTTATATAAGAGTACTCTTCCCTTAATTTTGTTTCGGATATAACAGCAGAAGTTGGCCCAGGACACTTTCCTTGACCAGGTAGCTCAGTTAGTTAGTTACAGAATAGCAATCTAACAGGGTTTCAATCCCAGTCTAACCCCTCTTCATCGACAGTGACTGTATGTCTGAAGTACGAATCAGTATGACATATCAACAGTGACCATATGTCTGAAGTACTAATCAGTATGACATATCAACAGTGACCATATGTCTGAAGTATGAATCAGTATGACATATCAACAGTGACCATATGTCTGAAGTACTAATCAGTATGACATATCAACAGTGACCATATGTCTGAAGTATGAATCAGTATGACATATCAACAGTGACCATATGTCTGAAGTACTAATCAGTATGACATATCAACAGTGACCATATGTCTGAAGTATGAATCAGTATGACATATCAACAGTGACCATATGTCTGAAGTACTAATCAGTATGACATATCAACAGTGACCATATGTCTGAAGTATGAATCAGTATGACATATCAACAGTGACCATATGTCTGAAGTACTAATCAGTATGACATATCAACAGTGACCATATGTCTGAAGTATGAATCAGTATGACATATCAACAGTGACCATATGTCTGAAGTACGAATCAGTATGACATATCAACAGTGACCATATGTCTGAAGTACGAATCAGTATTACATATCAACAGTGACCATATGTCTGAAGTACGAATCAGTATGACACATCAACATTGACCATATGTCTGAAGTACAAATCAGTATTACATATCAACAGTGACCATATGTCTGACGTACAAATCAGTATTACATATCAACAGTGTCCATATGTCTGAAGTACGAATCAGTATGACACATCAACATTGACCATATGTCTGAAGTACAAATCAGTATTACATATCTACAGTGACCATAGGTCTGAAGTACAAATCAGTATTACATATCTACAGTGACCATAGGTCTGAAGTACAAATCAGTATTACATATCTACAGTGACCATAGGTCTGAAGTACAAATCAGTATTACATATCAACAGTGACCATATGTCTGAAGTCCGAATCAGTATTACATATCAACAGTGACCATATGTCTGACGTACAAATCAGTATTACATATCAACAGTGTCCATATGTCTGAAGTACGAATCAGTATGACATATCACGGTGACCGTATGTCTGAAGTTCGAATCAGTATGACATATCAACAGTGACCATATGTCTGAAGTCCGAATCAGTATTACATATCAACAGTGACCATATGTCTGACGTACAAATCAGTATTACATATCAACAGTGACCATATGTCTGACGTACAAATCAGTATTACATATCAACAGTGACCATATGTCTGAAGTATGAATCAGTATTACATATCGACAGTGACCATATGTCAGAAGTACGAATCAGTATTACATATCGACAGTGGCCATATGTCTGAAGTACGAATCAGTATTAAATATCGACAGTGACCGTATGTCTGAAGTACGAATCAGTGTGACATATCAACAGTGACCATATGTCTGAAGTCCGAATCAGTATTACATATCAACAGTGACCATATGTCTGAAGTATGAATCAGTATTACATATCGACAGAGACCATATGTCTGAAGTACGAATTAGTATTACAAATCGACAGTGACCATATGTCTGAAGGACGAATCAGTATTACATATCTACAGTGACCATAGGTCTGAAGTACAAATCAGTATTACATATCTACAGTGACCATAGGTCTGAAGTACAAATCAGTATTACATATCAACAGTGTCCATATGTCTGAAGTACGAATCAGTATGACACATCAACATTGACCATATGTCTGAAGTACAAATCAGTATTACATATCAACAGTGACCATATGTCTGACGTACAAATCAGTATTACATATCAACAGTGTCCATATGTCTGAAGTACGAATCAGTATGACATATCACGGTGACCGTATGTCTGAAGTACAAATCAGTATGACATATCAACATTGACCATATGTCTGAAGTACAAATCAGTATTACATATCGACAGTGACCGTATGTCTGAAGTACGAATCAGTGTGACATATCAACAGTGACCATATGTCTGAAGTCCGAATCAGTATTACATATCGACAGTGACCTTATGTCTGAAGTACGAATCAGTATTACATATGGACAGTGACCATATGTCTGAAGTACGAATAAGTATTACATATCGACAGTGACCATATGTCTGATGTACGAATCAGTATTACATATCGACAGTGACCGTATGTCTGAAGTACGAATCAGTATTGCATATCGACAGTGACCATATGTCTGAAGTAAGAATCAGTATTACATATCGACAGTGACCATATGCCTGAAGTACGAATCAGTATTACATATCGACAGGGACCGTATGTCTGAAGTACGAATCAGTATTGCATATCGACAGTGACCATATGTCTGAAGTGCGAATCAGTATTACATATCAACAGTGACCATATGTCTGAAGTCCGAATCAGTATTACATATCAACAGTGACCATATGTCTGAAGTATGAATCAGTATGACATATCAACAGTGACCATATGTCTGAAGTACAAATCAGTATTACATATCTACAGTGACCATAGGTCTGAAGTACAAATCAGTATTACATATCGACAGTGACCATATGTCAGAAGTACGAATCAGTATTACATATCGACAGCGACCATATGTCTGAAGTACGAATCAGTATCACATATCGACAGTGACCATATGTCTGAAGTACGGATCAGTATTACATATCGACAGTGACCATATGCCTGAAGTACGAATCAGTATTACATATCGACCGTGACCATATGTCTGAAGTACGAATCAGTATGACATATCAACAGTGACCATATGTCTTAAGTACGAATCAGTATGACATATCACGGTGACCGTATGTCTGAAGTACAAATCAGTATGACATATCAACATTGACCATATGTCTGAAGTACTAATCAGTATGACATATCAACAGTGACCATATATCTTCAGTACGAATCAATATGACATATCACGGTGACCGTATGTCTGAAGTTCGAATCAGTATGACATATCAACAGTGACCATATATCTTCAGTACGAATCAATATGACATATCACGGTGACCGTATGTCTGAAGTTCGAATCAGTATGACATATCAACAGTGACCATATATCTTCAGTACGAATCAATATGACATATCACGGTGACCGTATGTCTGAAGTACGAATCAGTGTGACATATCAACAGTGACCATATGTCTGAAGTATGAATCAGTATTACATGAAAAACATTGTACATTTTTGTACTTCCACACTTCAATTTAACAGAACGGTGTACATCTCAAAATTTTGAAAATGTGAAGAAGAAAATGCACAGATTTTTTACAGTTCTTCATCCTTTAATTTTTACAGTCGTATTGCGCAGAAGGTTATTGAAATTTAATACGAATACTGTACCGGGAAATATTCCCACAGTATCTTTAATAAACCCAATTTTCACCCACTATAAACTTCACAAAAAATTACTTTGTGTATTATGTTTTCTAACTACCTGGTATATTCGCTGTGATAATAAATTTCCAGGTTTCTAGTACTCTTTTTTTCACCATTTTACTGTAGATCTCCAATATGAAAAGAATCAGATAACAGGCAAAGCCTTTGCCCTATGCAACCCCTCTTTTTGAAAACTTACATTGTTATTCATGTTAAATGACTTCTGTACTACAGTAGCCTAAATGTATTTGTCCTCATACTTACTGTCGTTATATGTTTATTTTTACTGTTTATGAGGGGAAAAAAATCAAATGTGATTTTTATCAGATTTGACTGTTTTCTTAGGTTGACTCCACAACTACTATAAACGATGTATGAACTGTAAAAACCAGATAAATGTCAAAAATTTAAATCAAGTGAGCCAGACATTAGATGTCATGCTTGTTCGTAAAACTTTCTTTCTCTCTCACAGCCATTTTATACACCATCATACACTCATCAAATGAAATTTACACATGCATCTATTGTTGTTATGTACCTCACCGGACGTAGAATCACCAATTAAAACATTTAAAATGTACGACAAATATAAGGGAAACTTAATCTAACCTTGTAGTCATGCTCTCTACTGTTCTTGCCATACAACCAACATAATGTGCATATTTCTGCAAAGTTGCTATTTTCACAAGGGAATTAATTTCGCAAATTTCATAATTTCAAAACAATTCTCAAATTCATGTACTTTGCAAATGGTATGTACTTTTGAGAAGACTAATAAAATCATGCAAAATAAATGTTTACTTATCAAATGCTCTAAATATACACCTTATAACTTGGTATAAATTCTGGCAATTTCAAAGGTAACATTTGACTTGCTTCAATAATGAAAGAGACTACCCTATGTAATTCAAAGTGGTAGTAGAATGAATGTCTTAATGTCTGCTACAGCAGCTGAATGATGGTAACATTACATGACATCTTAAGTATAAAACATAACAATTGAAGTCATGCTTTTCTTTCTCCAATTCCATATCAATTCGTTTTTTTTATCAATTCAACGTATTTTGAAATGTTTTGTAACTGATAACTGACAAATAATTCATACAATTGTACCTGTCATATTAGTCCGAATTATTCTGACGTTTTATCAACTTTTTTATATCGGTCTGTCGTCGATTAACATCAGAACTCCGGCCCTCTATAATATGCGGGAAATAAGCGACCCACGCCAGGGTCGCACTTCTAACTGATATTTCAGAAACAAATTGTCACTTTCACACACATGTCGCACATGAATCGACGACAGACCGATATAAAAAAAGTCGATAAAACGTCAGAATAATTCGGACTACTGTCATATTAACACACCTGCTAAGTGCATTCCTATTGCGTGTAGGCACACTTTCACTGACATCAGCATGACACGAGGGTTTTCTCAAGGTACTCCGGTTTTCTTCCACCATTAGAACCTCCGTGTGCAAACATCCGGGCAAGCAAGAGATATTATTATCAGTTGAAAAAACTTGTTGCATATTAAACTGTTGTAAAATGAATAAAGTTTGACATCAGCACTTTATTTCTTCTATTTTTCGATTCCTTATTTTTGGTAACAAGTTTCTCAATGCTGCATGAAACAATATATTTTTCACCGTTCTAATTCATGAAGGAATTTTCTGCATCCTTGAATTTAACACAGATGTTAAATGTTTCTTATTCAATCGCGATAGTAATGAGAAAATGATATAATAAAAGTTATTTTGAATTCAAATGACCATTTCTTCAAATAATTGAAGGAATATTCTATAAGGTTTAAACACAATGTCCACCATCACTGAACACAATATTGGAGGTCAGTATCACAAAGTGTACCAATGGTGGCTGAAATTATAACCTCACAAACTGCAGCCTTATGTATCTGTGAAAGTTTGCAGCTTTAAGGTACCATAGTAGCAATTAAGTGATTCACAAATATGGTTTTGTTATCTATCTTTCCAAAACTTCTCCAATTTGTATTTTCTATTCCAATGATAAGTAAATTAATACTGATACTTCTTCTGTATCGGTACACAAAGTCTTTACACAATATTTTTTAAATTATTAAACACAATTTTTCTTTTACTTTGAACCAGACCATGCTTAACAACATATTTCTGTTGACCATCACAACATAAATTTGATGCATTCACATCTAAGAAATGGTGTTTCAGACTTTCCGACCAACTCTCCTGTTCCTGCCAACTCAACAAATTTTAAGCCATATGACAAAAGTAATAAAAACAAACAGAATCCCAAACCACATAACTGAATGCCGCCGTAATGGATTTTCGTTGTGATAAAGATTTATCAACAGTTTCCATCACTTACTGACACAGTGATTTTTTTAAGAGTTACAAAAATGTATTTCAAGCAAACTTGTAACCCATTTAAATCTGAGGCAGATTGGTTTGAAGTAATCTCTATTCTACTACATTCAACTTCAGTTCCAGTCGGACACCGAGCTGTTCTGGGACATGAAATTTGTATACTATTATAGACACGGAGCGGTTCTCCGACGTGAAATCTGATGCTAGACACCGAGTTGTTCTCAGACGTGAAATCTGTATGCTAGACACCGAGTTGTTCTCTGACGTGAAATCTGTATGCTGACACTGAGACGTTCTCCAACGTTAAATCTGTATGCTCAAAACTGAGCCGTTTCCGACTTGAAATCTATATACTTGACACCAAGTTGTTCTCCGACGTGAAATCTCTTTGCTAGACACTGAGCCGTTCTCAGACGTGAAATCTATATGCTTGACACCGAGACGTTCTCCAACGTTAAATCTGTATGCTCAAAACTGAGACGTTTCCGACTTGAAATCTATATGCTTGACACCGAGTTGTTCTCCGACTTGAAAACTGTATGCTAGACACTGAGCTGTTCTCAGACGTGAAGTCTATATGCTTGACACCGAGACGTTCTCCAACGTTAAATCTGTATGCGCAAAACTGAAACGTTTCTGACTTGAAATCTATATGCTTGACACCGAGTTGTTCTCCAACATTAAATCTATATGCTTGACACTGAGCCGTTCTCTGACGTGAAATCTATATGCTTGACACTGAGCCGTTCTCTGACGTGAAATCTATATGCTAGACACCGAGGTGTTCTCCGACGTGAAATCTATATGCTTGACACTGAGCCGTTCTCTGACGTGAAATCTATATGCTTGACACTGAGCCGTTCTCTGACGTGAAATCTATATGCTTGACACTGAGCCGTTTCCAACGTTAAATTTGTATGCTTGACACTGAGCCGTTCTCTGACGTGAAATCTATATGCTCGACACTGAGCCATTCTCCGACGTGAAATTTATATGCTGTAGATGCATTGCTCTGTGGACATAGACTGTGTGTTCTGAACACACATCAAGCCACATGGTCCTGTTCGTTACCAAAGCCGTCAATAATAAACAGCCTTACAGGTTACCTGTTGTCGACAACCTGGGTCATTCCTTCTATAAGGGTCGGTAATGCAAAGTCAGATCACCAGTTTGTTTCCAGTAGAAATGTTTCACGGTTCGTAAGTCCATACTCGAATCAAGAATCTGCAGAAAAAAACATAAAAGGAGATTCAACTTTAGTTAAAAGATAGTTAGTGGCTATGGTGGATGTGTGTGTGTGTGGAGGGTGGGGTCCTTCTCTTCCACCACCCCTGTTTATATACTGGAATTATTGACAGCAAAATTCTGTATGCAAATTTCTTTTGCCAAGAGCTGAAATCACATGCAAATTTCCAAAGTAGACTGTAATTGTATTGAAATCAGCTAGATCAGAGTTCAAATTCTTTGATATTCAAGTTTTGGCATAAAAACCTATCTCATATTGATATTGTTTTCTTTGCCGGTACAATGATAAACAATAATAGCAAAGAGGATTCTAAATCAATCAAATCACTTCTATATATCCATCTTAAACAAGAGGCCCATGGGCCTTAACGGTCACCTGAGTCTATANTTTAATTTTAAACAACAAGACAGACATATATATATGCCAGTCATTTTTTTCTACACAAAGTCGGTAATCCAACTGTCTCACTATCTAGCCGCCTTTGTTCGTATTTTGGGTTATGAAGCTCTATTGCACTGTACAATATAGATAACACACAGCCTTGTTAACCTGTACTAATCTAGTCATCAAACTAATCCAGCCACCACTAATCAAGCTGCCCCAGTCTAACAGCACGCTACCACAATTGGTACACTACCACAATTGGCACGCTACCACAATTGGTACACTACCACAATTGGCACGCTACCACAATTGGTACACTACCACAATTGGTACACTACCACAATTGGCACGCTACCACAATTGGTACACTACCACAATTGGCACGCTACCACAATTGGCACACTACCACAATTGGTACACTACCACAATTGGTACACTACAACAATTGGTACGCTACCACTACCCAAATTGGTACACTACCCAAATTGGTAAACTACCCAAATTGGTACACTACCACAATCGGTACACTACCCAAATTGGTACACTACCACAATTGGTATACTACCCAAATTGGTACACGTCCAGGACATGGTTTGAATAGTACTTAAGATATATGATTTGAGCATTTTTCTCAATCAGTATAACAAAAGAGATATTTATCAGCATTTCCACCGAATAGTTTTGTTTTCAGGAACATTTTAAGAGTACAAGAGGATGATTTAAAGTAAATATATCAGAAAACCACAATTTTTTTAAGGATTTTGAAGGGGTTAATTATAAGCATGTTTAAATGTTGATTTCTGGTTTTTCATCGTTGAATATAAAATTGTAGTTCAGTATGGTATTTATAGAAGCAATAAATTTGTTGCAATTGGAACATTAACTAGTAGAAATAAAAACAAGTTTCATAGCCTGTGATATGGTGAACCACTTTGTGTACTACAATGTAAGCATGGCCAAAAAACGGACGAAATCTCACTGTAAATTTAGCTTTTTATTTTCAGAAATAAATCACTTGGAATCAAAGAAAAATCTGAAAATGAATCACCAGGGTAGTCTTCATCAAGAATCCAGAAACATTCCAGATACAAGATCTGAATTTTTAAACATCACTAAAACACTGTCAAAATTGTACCAATTGTGGTAGCGTGACATTATACTGCCAAATCAACCTCTAGCCACCACTAATCTAGTCACCACTAATCTAGCCACCACTAATCTAGTCACCACTAATCCAAATTCAACACAATCCAACTCAGTTAACCCAACAGTTTGATATTTTCAATTTCTATGACATACAGTCACATAACAGATATTGAGATGTGGAAAAAGCATCAACTTCACAATTGGCATATTCCATTGTGATTAATGATATATGTACAACCACTTCAAGACTCCTTTTAGAGTTTCGACACACATATTATGTTGCGAGTCAAACCTGCACCTACAAGCCCACTGTAATCCCAACATTACTAACCAAGCTTTGACCCCATGACCTATCATGACCTACAATGACCTATGATGACCATGACCTATCACCACCTACCATGACCGTGACTTATCATGACCTACCATGACAATGACCTACCATGACCAACAATGGCCATGATCTATCATGACCTACGATGACCATGACCTATAATGACCTACCATGACTAATCATGACCTACCATGACCATGACCTATCATGACCTAAGATGACCATGACCTATCATGACCTACGATGACCATGACCTATCATCACCTTCGATGACCATGACCTACAATGACCTGCCATGACATACAATGACTTACCATGACTACTATGACCTACTATGACATTGACCAATCCTGTCCTATCATGACCTATCATGGCCTACCATGACCTACAATGACATCCCATGACATGACCTAACATGACCAACCATGACCTACAAGGACTTACCATAACTAATCATGCCCTACCATGACTTATCATGACCTACCATGCCCTACAAGGACTTACCATGACTAATATGACCTACTATGACCCTGCCCTATCATCACCTATCCTGACCTACCATGACCATGACTTACAATGACATATCATACCCTTGACCTACCATGACCATGACCTACCATGACCAACAATGGCCATGATCTATCATGACCTACGATGACCATGTCCTATCATGACCTAAGATGCCCATGACCTATCCTGCCCTACGATGACCATGACCTACAATGCCCTGCCATGACATACAATGACTTACCATGACTCCTATGCCCTACTATGACCCTGCCCTATCATCACCTATCCTGACCTACCATGACCTATGATGACCATGACCTATCATGACCAACCATGACCATTGACATATCAAGACCTACAATGACCTTCCATTCCTTAATATGACCTATCATGACCTATAATGACCTACCATGACCTACCATGACATACAATGACATATCATAACCTTGACCTACCATGACCATGACATACCATGACATACCATGACATACCATGACCTACAATGACCTAACATGACATGACCTAACATGACCCACCATGACCATTGACATATCAAGACCTACAATGACCTACCATGACTATGACCTATCATGATCTACCATAACCATGACATACATGACCTACATGACCTACCATGACTTATCATGACCTACCATGACTTATCATGACCTACCATCATCTACCATGACCAAGCAGATCATGCTTACCTGTTCATTGCATATGAGCTCAACTTTCTCCGCAGCCACGGACGACAGATCTGGCTCTTCTTTCTCGACTGGTTCTGCACGCTCCCCGCTGGCACTATTGGTTTGTGACCCATTTTCTGACCCTTGACCCAAGACTTTTTCATAAACATGCTCAATCACTTTCCTCACCTGGATCATATCACTGGCTGATAGTCTGTCCCTGAAGAAACATAATGTAACATTAACAAAATTATGAGGTTTCCAGTTGATGATGTTGTGCTTAATGTGTTGGGAGGGACTGTTCCATAGAAAAGGGAGATAAGCCTGAGTTATTTCATTTGACCAGCTCCCCAACTCATGGTCCATTTATCACATTCAAAATAGTGTTACCAATGAAACCAGAGTTGATAGCTTGAATTAATGACCTGATCTCCCATTCATAATCAATTTATTGCATTTCGAACAGTGCGACCACCTAGACCAGAGCTGGGGCCTGTTCGTTTATGCGGAACAACCGGTTTGACCGTTTAAAAATTACTAGGTTCAACATTATTAAATAAACGAACAACAGTGGTCCAGGTCCGTCAGACTTTACAGGTCCGAAGGACCTTACAGGTTCGTCAGACTTTACCTTACAGGTTCGTCAGACTTTACATAAGTAATGTATACTGGGAAAGTTTTGCCCAGTCAAACTTTCGCCCTTCACCGGTAAAATTATTATTCGCAGTTTCAAATTTGACCTTCGCTTTTAATTTATATGTAAATCATGTTGTAAACTAAAGTTCATTGTTAAGATAAATTTGCTCTCGTTTCTGTGGGTGAAAAAGGCGAAATTAAACTGCAGAGAAAATTTCCCGGTTAACATTACTGGTAAATATTTTATCAAAACAGTTACTGTTTAAGGACTGCATTTATTGTAAGCACTTTAATTTACTATACTGCACTTATGATTACTGTGTAGAGTGAGTATTTTCTGAATAATTGTTTGGAATTACAGAGGTTTACATTTTTGTTCTATTCCTGACATGAAAAAATAACATGAATAATAAATCCTTCAAATTTGCTCCTACTACAAAACCCTGATGATTTGACACAACAATATCTACAAAACCCTGATGATTTGACACAACAATATCTACAAAACCCTGATGATTTGACACAACAAGAAGATGGAACCTTTGTTACCACTCTATCAAGTACTTACTTCTTTATCGTTTTGATCCCTGTACTTGGGTGTGGTTGTAAGAAGAATGGAATTTTGTTCGATTTTGGAGCATTTCTCTGGAAAATACAAAAGTTCAATATAAATGTCCCTGCAAAAATCATTAACCACCTCCGATAATGATGAATTAAAGATGTTATTGAAATAAATCTATATTCAAAGCTAGCTCTTTCAATTAAAAATATTCATCGTCCATGACAGCCAAAAAGCATTAAAAAATCTGTGAAAGATGGGTGTTTGAAGGCAAATGTTGCAATACATACATCAAAATTAAATTAACTTACATGTACAATAATATTGACAGTCCATAAAAGCATTACTTCATTGTAAGAGGCATACTCACATGTACAATAACATCAACCACCCACGAGGGCACTGTTTCATTAAGTAACATCTGTTCCGTCTCCCCCGCAGCGTCTCGACAGAGTAACCTGAACAGCGTTCTACCTCCAATCTCACTAAAGGACAAAAAACAAATCTTACATTCAATAGTTTATGAAGCATGTAATAAGTTAATAACTAACAGTATATTTTAAATACATAAAGAAATACTTTGGTACATGAATACATAAAGAAATACTTTGGTACATTAATACATAAAGAAATACTTTGGTACATTAATACATAAAGAAATACTTTGGTACATTAATACATAAAGAAATACTTTGGTACATTAATACATAAAGAAATACTTTGGTACATTAATACATAAAGAAATACTTTGGTACATTAATACATAAAGAAATACTTTGGTACATTAATACATAAAGAAATACTTTGGTACATTAATACATAAAGAAATACTTTGGTACATTAATACATAAAGAAATACTTTGGTACATTAATACATAAAGAAATACTTTGGTACATTAATACATAAAGAAATACTTTGGTACATTAATACATAAAGAAATACTTTGGTACATTAATAAATAATGAAATACATTGGTGCATTAATACAGAAACAAATTCTCAGTATAGATATTTTGCAAGCTGAAGATTGATTTGGTGAGTTTACAGTGTTATTATCCACATATCAAATAGAAGAAAATTTTGCATGCATTGAAATGCTTCGAAAGATTATCCTACATTTGTATATATCATTACTTATGCTAAAACTTTTGAAAAACTCATGCTGACAGTGTTTGGCTGACACAAATGCTGTGATTAACCCTTTCACTACTGTAGACCATAATGGATTCATCAAGATCAATACATGGTCGAGTCTACTGAAGTTATATAGGGGTGAAAGGGTTAAAAAACAGGAAAACCTTGTCAGCTATGACGATAGGATTTCTAAATGTATGTCAGATATAGTTAATTTTCCATGTATACAAGCACAGCAGTACATACCAGAATATGACCGGTGTGTGGCCAGGGACCTGGAACAATGGGGTTGATGGGCTCTTCTCCATGATACCATTCATACTCTCTGTAGGAAAATAAATGTCAATTTATCAATCATATAATTCCCTCTTTCTTAAATGTCAATAATACACAGAAGAAGTTTTAACCTAATTGGACTATTTCAGAACTTGTGCTGTCACCAGAATAAGAAATCAGTCAGGTACTATTTTTAGTGTAACATTAGTAAGAGAAATGCAAAGGCCAGACTGGGGTTCTATCCCGGGATCCTCGGAACTCTAGACGGACGTTCAACCAATTGAGCTATCTGGTCGCCGACGATCGACCCAGTCCAGTTCTACTACATTCATTCCTCCTTTTTCTGAGTCTTTGCCCTAAAAGACAACACTGTTTACAACCCAGGTTCGGTATCCCCTTGCCAAGTGTTCGCCCAATGCTTGGAACAGGGGTTAGCAAGCTTGCCAATTTTTAACAGGAGCAGAAAAATGCCCGACCAGACTTGGATTTGAACCTGGGACCCTCCGAACTATAGACAGGCGCTCTACCAATTGAGCTACCTGGTCTCCAACAATCGACCCAGTCCAATTCGGCTACATTAGAATGCAAACACACATAAAGGAGTTTGAAAATGATATTATATTTCAGAGCTGGTGTTGTCACTAGGGTAGGATATCATATAGCTTCTGTTTTCAGTAACAGTGACCCTATGACACAAAACAACAGGGGTGTTCCCTCAATGATCCTACATGTAACCAATTGAGCTGTTCGAACTTCAATTATCAAACTTATCGGAAAGTAATATCATAATTCTACTTCATACACAAACAATATACTTATTAAACATGTTGCAACGTTTCAAGATGAACTGGTCCCTTTGTCAAGTTGTGATGTGACAAAATATCGTTCTCAACTCCCTGGGGAGCATACAGCCGGTGCTGCCATTTTGGCGCTCACAGCTAGCATTCTACAGTTCTAGCACTGCCAAACCACATACCGTACTCATTTACAGCTGAGTAGACTGGAACAAGCGAAGTAAAGTATCTTGCTCAAAGATACAACACAGTGCCGTGATGTGACTTGAACCCGCAACCCTTCGGTCACGAGCCTGGCGTCCTACCACTGGACTACCGTATCTCAATTAATTATTAAATAACAAGCGAACATAACACTCACCCTGGTTATCATAGACATGTGTCTTGGGCCAATGTTCCAGCAGCGCCTGTAGAAGTTCCTGGCCAATGTTTACTAAAACAGCCCAACAAAAACATGTTATGATGACGTGAATAGTTCTACACTCTTGTACTTGATAATGTGTTTACTTCATGTTCTTTATTAATTTATTTATGAGCAAAAAGTCCAAAAGTATAATCCATTAAAAGCCGGTTGCTGGCAAATGTTGCCTGCTATTCATCAACTTTGAACCTGCTATTTTTCAGAATATATTCAGATCAACATAGCAAGTGAGCATTCAACTGCTATTCTTTTGAAGTAAACCACCTATTTCAAAAACCGTGAGGAACACTGTTTATAAAAGTGGTCCTTGTTTGCCTTAACATGGACTACAGGCAATCAAAACTACAGAGCTAATACATAACATTTTTCCAGCAACAAGCAATTCTTAGAAAGAGTTCCACTATACATGTGCTACATATTTTTATTCACAATTCCTGGACCAGTAACCCAAGGATACTACATGATAATAAGCTTTTCTTTTTTGTTCTATGAAATATGTGATAGGAACAACTTTCTTTTACAGCACCTTCCCATATGTATCACTTACAACTGCTTGTCATATAACATTTAACATAGAAAATCATTCAAGATTAACACCCCATTTAGAGGTATGACAAAGATTGTAATTTATTGCAAGAATTGAACTCCCACATGCATACCAGTGCATGGCAGTGAAACTAATGTAAACATAAAAATAATTGAAGCCTATTTTCTCTGAAGTTCATTTAGCCCCCATATTTCTATGCGGCCCAATTAGCCCCAGTTTTCTCAGAGGTCCTTCTAGTCCCTATAACTCACTCATTCCTACCTCTCTTACACCTGTTTTTACAGAAAATTACCTCTGGAATCTGAATAGCCCATAACGTGTCAGTTTTGGCCCCTTTAAATCACTAAATGTTACCACACTCTACCTACATTTAGGGTCTGTTCCTTCTGGTGTTAGCCCTGCCCCTAACTCCCTAGAAGACATCCAAGCAGCAAAGCAGTCCGATTCGTCTAAATGAATGGTAAGCAACTGGAAAAAAAGAAATGAAATACTGTAATTTTTCACACTTTTTTTGAGAAATTTAAATCTCAAAGTGGAGGGTTGCACAAAATACATAAGTGTAAGCAATTTCAAGTTTTTTTCAGGAAAAGATCAACGATTCTTGGAGACCGCCATCTTGGACATAAGAGATTATCTCCCTTGATACACAGAATTCAAAGACAAATAAATGGCGATCAACAAATTTATTTATGTCAAACATCAATAAAAGATACAGTTGATACATAATGTACTATTACCTGAGTTTATGTGAAAATTATTATTAAATAGGTATACATCTTATGGAAATCAATACTATTGACAATACTGTCTTATTATTTTGCTGAGCACCAGTCACTTAATGTCCAACAATTTAACTCAAAGCTTTGATGCACATGTCACAATATTGTTATCATCATCTCATCGGGATACCTTAACCACGCCTGTCAATTGCCCATTTTGGGTTAAATATCTGTCATTTTTTGGGGGAGATGGTTTGAGGAAAACATCACTTTGTGTCAATATCTAATTCGTCTGCTCAATTCCTGCAGAATTTGTTGGTTCCAGTATCTAGCAAGTAGTGTGTATGGAAAAACCAAACGAAGAAAGTTTAGCCAATTCCGATGCCAGAGAATGGTCGATCAACTTACTTTTCAACATCTCAGCACTTTTACCCATAGTTATGAAAATGTAGTTGTTCGAATTATAGGCTCCGTTCCACCTAAGTTCTGTTGGTTTTTTTCAAGTCGTTAAGACTACTGGCCACTGTATTCTGTATTGGTCAGTGACACCTTACCTGTACTCACTTTCATGTTGATCTCGCGTCTAACACTACATAAACATGTCATCGATTACCTCATGAATTATTTCCTTATTTATTAAATGAAGCAACATAGAAATAGTGTATTCTGCTTTGATTTTTTCCCCTTCAAGTAGATTTGAAGAGGATGTATCTAATATCCAAGCTTCTAGCATAAACCTTTTTTTTTTAATCCCTTTCAAATAGATTTACCAGAATTCCGATTATAATTGATAATCGTTCATTAAAATTTTTCCAATAATCAATCATGATACCCGCTTCCGATCCCCAACACTATCATTTAGTGCTTAATGGTGTAAGAATATTAACTTTTTTATTTTACAACATTGATGAAACAATTTTTGTTCAACTTATATCAATCGCTCTTGTTGGCCCTGATGGAAGCCTGCACAAGGTCAGGCGGGTGACCAATATCTTTTCATGTTTGATCGTGGAGTCAAACACCAGCCATCTTGGTGAAAGGCGAGTGCGCTATACACAGAGCAGACTGCCCAACCTTCATAACAGCATGATGATGGTAACATTCCCTTTATTGTAAACATGCCCACACCAAACCTGGTACCTACCCCAGTCTTTAAATCCACTGAGAACCAGTTGGGAACAAACACGGTCTTGAAGCGTTTCTTGATTTCTTCTTCAAAATCAATTTTCCCAAGCTCTTCCATCTTTCTTGCCTACAAGGAAACAACTACATTTACCAGATATCTAAAGCTTCCAGTAGACCCTTGAGAATAAGATTTGTTAACTCCTCAAACTAAGCTTTGGGTTTAAAAGGACAAGTCTAATTGATGTACCTACACTTTGACTCTCCAAAATTCAGGTCAAAATATATCTGACTTATAATTATGAAATTGCTAAATGCTAAGGGTCAACAGAATGCCCTGAATCATAACTTTTTTTCTCTAAAAGACCTGTTTTCTTAACATAGCTAAACCTTTATCTAAATAGTCTTTCTAGCAGATATTGAGCTTATATTGTCTTGCAACAGTAGATATTAAGCTAACATTTGGCATTCAATTAAGCATTGAACTGCTTTCAGTTGGTATTCATAGGCAATATGAATGCCAACTGGACAAAGGCAACTTCAATGAAACGCGCTAGCGCTTCATGTTGGATTTGCCTTTGTCCAGTTAGAATTCATTTTGCCTATGAATACCAACTGAAAGCAGTTCAGTACTTATATTTACTTTTTTCGGAAAGTGTTAATCGTCTAAACAATTCAATTACACTTATTATCATTCAGCATTTAGTTCAAATAATGTATGTATCGTGTATGCTTGTTCAATTAATAGAACAGCCATCGCCCGGGGAGGGGCAGTGGTATCCAACTTAACAATTATGACGTCATAATAATGATGACGTCAACAATCTGTCCATGGCATTCATAGCCTATATGAATGCCAACTGAATTTGGTAGAGTTAAATAGAGGTAATGCCATAGGATGGTAAATATTGTTGTATGAACATTTTTCACTTTGAGAGAAATTGAAGTAGTCCTCCCACATACACAAAGGTGTAAGCATTTCAATGATACTGTCACCAATACAGTGTGGCTACCACAGTTTATTGCATTATGAACTATTTCACCAGTTGAACCAGAGTTGTCGATTTATGAAACAGGGACGAACCTTGTGATCTAATATTGTTTTCTGATGAGCCTTGACAAATTTATAGGGCCTGGATTAATATTCGTAGATCTGCCAGGATTATACTTCTGATTATTTTACATTTAAAATCAACAAACTAATTTGTCTCTATGGATGAAAAGGCAACTTTATGTTATATGGGAAGGGGAGACAACTGAGGGAAAAAGATGAAAAATAAACTGCACCAAATGTTTCCCAATAAACAGTAACGATATAAGTAAATTTTCCCTTATCTTAACAGTAATTTTATCTTGGTATTACTAGAGTACATTTTCAATGACAATGCTATGTAGTTTAATATGAAAACATATTTTACTTACAGGTTTGTGTCTATGCTGTCCACATATTCTCACTTTTGAAGCACATAATTTGAAAGGGACCCCACCATTTTTTCAATAATTCAACTGAACTAAACAAAAAGGCCAATAAGAACCCCACCTATGACACATGCAGTGCTTACTCTGATCAAAACTAACTTACCGTTAATACATCCCATAACGCCACATTGTTTTCCGTGTCTTTGGTCAAAATGTGGCGCTTGTCATTTAGAACAAAATACTGCCGTATACTTGGTCCACCTGTGTGTTAAGAGGTATGATCATAGTTTGATTTAAAAGCACAAATCTTTTTAATTTGAGAAAGGACCATTTATACCAAAATTCTTTCACAAACGACAAATCGTAGTCCTATGTGTAGTAAAGGTGAACTTGTTTTTAACCCAAGAAGGTCAAAACACAAAGTTGTACATAAGGTACCTGTTTGTAAACACATACTCCTTAAGGAGTTTCATGACAATCAGAGAAGAAATTAGGTCTGTTCAGTGATGACACCGAAATCCTAGTTATAGTAACAGTGGCTCTGGTTTTCACCCCGGAAAAAAGAAAGCTATAGAGAGATAATATTTTTAATATGAAATTTCATGAAAATTGGATGAAAAATGCAGTCTGTAAAGGGATATATATGACATTTTCTGGGAGAGTTACATACATCCATGTGTTTGTAAGAAAGTGAACCAGATCCCTATATACCTAAACAACTTACTACGAAGGTCAAACCAGATCCCTTCATACCTCAACAATTTACTACTAAGGTCAAACTATTGAAGATAAAGGTACAACTGAAATTTGAGCACAACAACAAAACCTAATCATTTCCCGATACTTAATTTTAACTTAAACATATTGAAAACATTGTTTACTTTGTTATGATTCAAAATACTTCAATAGAATGATATATCTCTACAACTTACCTTTGATTGTGAAGTCTGGCTGTGTGTACATAGGAGCGAGGCCCTCGTTGTCATATCCACCAGATAGTTTAGTGCTGATTTTCTGTAGTGGCTATAACATTATACGTCAATAATGAATTCAGACAAAGTTACTGTTTGGTTTTCTTCACAAGATGTCTTTGACATTTTTGTGCAAAATTGGAAATTTCCAAATTTAACTCTTCAAGCTTTTTAAGATATGGAAATTTTGGCATTGTGATATTATTCCTGTTACTGTCATTTAATAGTATGTTTGATATTTTTACACTGGTTTTGTTAACAGCCATAAGTCAGCACATCTTTTTGATTCTCACAATAGCTATTTGCCTTACTCATAGCCACCAAAACTCCTTCATTAGGAGGGTCACTCCCCTCATTTTGAACAAAATTTACCAAACTCCCTCATCCAAGTCCAAACCCACATAAACTCCAAATCTACATTGTGTGGTCAAATGATCTCCTAGTTACAGCAGAGTGTGTGTAATGATCAGTACAGGCGTGTCTGAATCAAATGAATGCTTTTTGGAGTTATTTTGATGCATAAAAAGGGAAAGATAATTTGAGCAAAGCAGTTTCAGTCGTGTTTCACACACTTTCTCCCCTCATTGGAAATGTGGACTGATGGAGATGTCCAACAGTTGAGGTTTCAGAGATTGACGCCTGTGCTTACTCCTGCTGGGAAGCTATGGTTTTGTAATATCTCTCCTCACACATAACACTTAGTGGAAAGTTTACGGGTAAATACACTAATTCTCACCCAGCATTTAATACAGGAATCGGTGGTGGCTATCCACAGAGACGGCTGGTCTGTATGAGTTAACTCCAACTGTAACAGAAAAACAACATTTTACAAAACCACAGGAAAATCACAGTTACCAGGAATTTTCCTAAACAACCTTATAGGGATCCAGAGTCCATTGAATTAGCAACATTTACAATGTACATGGCGGAAATTGGGAAAATATAATAACCATCAAAATATTGTTTACAGCATAGTCCTGTAAAATGTGCATTATTTGGGGATTTTTTTTTCTTTTGATCTTTAATCAATCAGAGTTGCAGTTTCCCAAAAAAAAACACGAAATCACGGTTTTAATCATATTTTAAAGTTAAGAATTCTATATTGGGAAATGAAATTATTTTGTTTAACTTCAGGATGATTGGTCAGTTTTCTGCACCTTAAAAGGGCACTGGAAAATCTAAAATAACAGCATCAATGTTAACAGAATGAGAGGAATACCATTGTTATGAATTGCATGGCTTCTATTTTACTGCTACTGAGTCCAGTATGAGAAAACTATGTATCCATTCTACACGAGATTTGTGAAGCATCCTTAACTTTTCATTCTTGGCAGCGTTTTAAATTTTGCAGAGTTGAAAATTAAGCTTAGAAATGAGTTTCATAGATAACATATGAAATGACAAAAAAAAATCTGAGATAGTATTCATCGCATTATCAAGTAAGTGAACAAGAACTTGTGAAAAACATGTCTTCTTGTCGTGGACATCACCATCTTGATTTTGTTTCATGCAAAGTCACAAATATATGTACCATAACATTAAATGGATTGTCTTTGTTCTGACATTACAACTGTCATCCAACTATACAAAGTCCTTGGCATCATGTTCATTCGTATCAAGAACAATGCTACAGTCATTACACAAAAACATGTACCATGTATACTTTGTAGTAAATTTTCTGATACTTACTTTTAATATAGGGGCACTTTCCTCACAAACAAGAGCTCTGTATTCTGGATTTCTGACATCTGTAGCCCAAACTCGTTTGTCTCGACCCGCAGAATACACTATAGAGAAACTTTCATTTGTCTGAAATTAAATATACCAAATGATACAAATAGCAAATCAAAGTTCATACCTGTATTACAAACCTAATCTTAGGTGTTAGAGCAATTTTACATTTCTCATTTTCACATTTAATTCTGACACGTTTGTTCACCTCGTACATTTGTTGATATATATTTATAGTTTCAGAGTTTTTATCGTAAGAGGTGAAAGACTTGTCAATGTTGCTCCACCTCACTGTTCCTCCACCTCCTTCCTTCTTCCCAAGGAAAATCATTCTTATGACCATTAAAACAGTCCTTCCTCCCAAGGAAAATCATTCTTATGACCATTAAAACAGTCCTTCTTCCCAAGGAAATCATTCTTATGACCATTAAACGGTCCTTCTTCCCAAGGAAAATCATTCTTATGACCATTAAAACGGTCCTTCTTCCCAAGGAAAATCATTCTTATGACCATTAAAACAGTCCTTCTTCCCAAGGAAAATCGTTCTTATGACCATTAAAACAGTCCTTCCTCCCAAGGAAAATCATTCTATGACCATTTAAACAGATTTCTATTGGTATCTTTAGACCTTTGTGTTATATAATATAGCACAATTAGTTTTGAAAGAAAAACACTTAAAATTGAGGTCTTTCAAGGTGAAACTATAACTTAACCCTTTCACCCCTATGCAACTTTAGTAGACCATCCCATGTAATGACTTGGATGAGTCTGTTATGATCTACAGTGGTGAAAGGATTAAGGTCTTTTTTCCAACACTCCATGTAAATCTGTGGTTCATACCTGAAGAGCCCAAACACCCTCATCGTGAACTCGGAAGGTCGCTACACATCGTTGTTGTCCTAGTGACCAGAGGCGTATCGTTCCGTCAGAGCTCCCGGAAAGACACTGTAATTCACACAAAGCTCTTTGATATAATCAGCTTTCTAGGTGAGAAAATATTATCACTATGTGTTTTAGTGAGACATGAAGATAACTATATATTCAGGTGAGAAATGAAGATAACTATAATTCTGATGAGAAATGAAGATCACCTTAAATTATATTCAGGTGAGAAATGAAGATAACCATAAATCATATTCAGGTGAGAAATGAATATCACTATATATTGAGGTGAGAAATGAATATCACTTTTTATTCAGGTGTAAAATGAAGGTAACCATAAATTTTCTATCAGAAATTAAGATAACCTTAAGTTATATTCAGGTGAGAAATGAGGATCACTAAATATCTGGGTGAGAAATGACAATCATTATATATTCAGGTGAGAAATGAAGATCAATATATATTCAGGTGAGAAATGAAGACCACTATATATTCTACATTTTTTTTTTTTTTTTTCTAATAAGGTTATGGATTCTATCAGCATGGATCAATAATATGTCCAGATTAATGAAACATCAGTTTTGAATAAAGAATTTGTTCAGTCACTGGCCCTTAAATTGACACAGACCTGTGTGCCATCTCTGTTCAACACCAGAGCCTTGACGTTGTCTGTGTGACCTTTCAGCTTCATTAACTTCTGACAGGTTCGGGGATCCCAGACACGGAGCACCTTCTCCGTCGATCCCGACACGATCACCGTTCCAGGAGGGTTCATTGCCAAGCTGTATATGGAGTCTTTGTTCCCATTTAAACTGGACGCTGAAATTAAAATAAACTTTATATTTACATTCCTAGATCTTAGTAAGGGAACATCAGAATTGAACCTCTTGGGATAGTGTCCTTTGCCTCGATAGCCAATCATAGCTGAAAGTGTACCTACTTGTTACTGTGTTGTTACTAGCGGTTAAAGCTGTAAGTGTGTTGACATCCCAGAGGAAGATTGACCGGTCAAGTCCGGCCGATGCCACTTGCTCTTTTTCCTTGGCATAAGCTAAAGCTTTCACGTAATCCTGGAGAAGAAATAAGATTACGACGTAATTACAACAAACATACCTTAACCATAAAAAAAATCCTAATTGCCCAATATTACTTAAATAATATCTAAGAAGAATGTGTGGCAATGATAACACTGCTTTAGAAGCAATGTAAAGCTTGTTTTTTGGTTGATAAGTACATCTGTTCAAATTGAGAATTTGAAATTGAAATCTTCAACTTTAAATGGGGCAGTTAGGAAGAGAATGGGGCTGTTTTGCAGCCTTAAAATAATAGCAGAATCAGCCTTGTAGTCATAGACACCAACCACATTATTACCTTGTGTGTCCGCAGGGTAGACATACAGAAACCCTTGTGAGCATTCCACACTTTAACTGTTGTGTCACTGGATGCAGAAATCACTGAAAACAACACTCAAGTTATTAATATACCATGTATCAATCTATTATATTTTAACATGATAATCATAAGGTATCTCTGTACCACTACCAAAATCACAAGGTATCTCTGTATTACTACCAAAATCACAAGGTATCTCTGTACTACTACCAAAATCACAAGGTATCCCTGTACCACCACCAAAATCATAAGGTATCCCTGTACTACTACCAAAATCACAAAGTATCCCTGTATTACTACCAAAATCACAAGGGATCTCTGTACTACTACCAAAATCACAAGGGATCCCTGTACCACCACCAAGATCATAAGGTATCCCTGTACTACTACCAAAATCACAAGGTATCCCTGTATTACTTCCAAAATCACAAGGTATCCCTGTATTACTACCAAAATCACAAGGGATCTCTGTACTACTACCAAAATCACAAGGTATCACTGTACCACTACCAAAATCATAAGGTATCCCTGTATTACTACCAAAATCATAAGGTATCTCTGTACCACTACCAAAATCACAAAGTATCACTGTATTACTACCAAAATCACAAGGTATCTCTGTACCACTACAAAAATCACAAGGTATCCCTGTATTACTACCAAAATCATAAGGTATCTCTGTACCACTACAAAAATCACAAGGTATCCCTGTATTACTACCAAAATCACAAGGTATCTCTGTCCCACTACCAAAATCACAAGGTATCCCTGTATTACTTCCAAAATCACAAGGTATCCCTGTATTACTACCAAAATCATAAGGTATCCCTGTGTTACTACCAAAATCACAAGGTATCTCTGTACTACTACCAAAATCATAAGGTATCACTGTACCACTACCAAAATCATAATGTATCCCTGTATTACTACCAAAATCATAAGGTATCTCTGTACCACTACAAAAATCACAAGGTATCCCTGTATTACTACCGAAATCACAAGGTATCTCTGTACCACTACCAAAATCACAAAGTATCCCTGTATTACTACCAAAATCACAAGGAATCTCTGTACTACTACCAAAATCATAAGGTATCACTGTACCACTACCAAAATCATAATGTATCCCTGTATTACTACCAAAATCATAAGGTATCCCTGTATTACTACCAAAATCACAAGGTCTCTCTGTACTACTACCAAAATCATAAGGTATCACTGTACCACTACCAAAATCATAATGTATCCCTGTATTACTACCAAAATCATAAGGTATCTCTGTACTACTACCAAAATCACAAAGTATCACTGTATTACTACCAAAATCACAAGGTATCTCTGTACTACTACCACAACCATAAGGTATCCCTGTACCACTACCAAAAGCTGTAACTAAGACTTGGAAACTGTTTTTTCTGGCAGGACTATACTAGATAGCTTTGATAAATCATTTCTGAAATAAAAACCATACCTTACAGGAATTTCATGAAAAATAACATAGATGAAATAAACAAAATATACTCAACAATAGTGTTTGGAGTGTAAAAGAAAAGCAGCAGAGTTAGACCGGGATTCGAACTCTGGACTTCAGATTGTTATACTATCGCTCTTACTGACTGAGCTACCTGGTCAACCGAAGTGTTCTTTCACAACTGTGCTACAGTAACATCCAACTGGAAGATAAGGGGAGTTTACTGTATATACAAAGAACCACACCGCGGAGGGACAGGGATCCTGAAAATGAATCTGGCCAGACTTGTTCAAGTCGTTTAATAATCACATGTATTTGCTGAAGTCATGACCTTTTTTACATGAATTCTAAATGGCTCAGTATTATATATCAGCCATATCATTGTGTATTGCTATGTTTTGAAATCTCATTTGGATCAGTTGTAATATAATCTATACCAGGGCCAGAAGATTTCTATGTGTGGATACAGGATATGCTTACTTCAAAGTATAATGTAGATAGTAAAAGATACACGGTACTATTCCATATTTGCGTATTGCAGAGTTAGCTGCACTTGTGAGCTGGTAGTGATTGTTACGTCATTTGCTTGTGAGAGTAACGTCATCAATTTTGGAGAAAACAACGTAATTTTCTCACACAAACCAACGACGTAACAATCAATACCTGCTCACAAGAGAAGATAACCCTGCAATATGGAAAGACGGAATAAGTGTCTCAACTTGAACAGCAATCTGATTACTATACATATCATGTATGTCATACAGGTGTTATGACCGTTAATTCATCACCTATAGTATCAACATTGTTGGTGATGAATTAACACCTGTACTTGAATCAGATAGCTTGAACATAGAAGTGAAGAGAACTGGTATAAAAAGAAAATATAGAATCTGCATGATAATTACATACACCTGACAGAGGTAAATTTTTCAATAGGTAGATACAGAGGATATATTTGAACAGTATTATAAAAACTTACATGTTCGTCCTCCACAGCACAGCACTATGTCATTAACCCAGTCTGTATGATGTTCCATCGATAAAACGTATGGGTCCTTCAAATATCATCATATAAATCTACATTAAACAAATATCATCATGCATCATATAAATCTACATTAACGTTTAGAATTTTTAATAAATAAAAGCCCCATTTCCTTGAAGTTTAAAAGAGACCTTTAGTCAGCATAAATGGCTAACAATAAATTCTGGAATGATCATGAGGATACGAGAAAAAAACTCAACTTACAGGAACAATATTATCGCGGTAATGGTATACAATCTCATATTTGGAATATTAGACTGCAGGTTAATATGGAAAAATCAACCAATACTTTCATAGAAAATACTGATTTTTTTACTAGCATTGACAACAAATCTACTAGCCCTGAGCATCGGGCTGGTGGAATTGTACAATGTACCTGCATTAATGAAAATCAGTACAGACAGAAATATTTCGGAACATACCTTGTTCGCCCGTGTGTTCCATATCCTGATTATGGAGTCACGCCCCGCTGAGTAAAGTCTGTTAAACACAGGATCAAACTGGAGGGCATTGACCCCTGACCTGTGATGACGCTCAACTTCATCTCGGATCACAAACGATACCTGAACAAAGCAGTCGAATTAATAACATGTTCATCTATTATAGTGCAGATTGCCAACAGTACCTGAACACAACATGTTCAAGCTTAGATTTAGTAATGGGCAGTGCGAAGTTCAATTTGTCTCTGCATGGGTATACCAGAGACGTATAATACAGAGATTGGCAACTCACGCTGATCCCTCAAAAACACGCATGATCTATGAGTGTTTGTTTTGACAGCTTATCGATCCTGGTGAAGATAGTCTGGTCAGTGAGTTACCTGTGTGAGAATTCGATCGTGTATTCGTTAGTTCGTGTCAACATGTCACATATCCTAGATATATGGATCATATAAAGAAGCTGGTTAGAAATATAATGTTATATCTGAATACGTTTTTGAAATAAAAAGATAAACGAGAAAGGAGTGCCGGTGTCATGAAAGGAATGAACCCTCGCACATCACAGCCGCCATTTTAACTTGTATATTTCAAAGTGCATTTTCATAGCTCAATTATCAAACTTTGCAGGTATTATAACAACCTCGTTTTAATTTCCTGGTTAGAAATATTATTAAATAATTAATTTCTGAAAACCTTTTGGAAATTGTCTACAGAACAAAAACGGAGTTCGTGTTCTAATTTGTCATGATAGAAATAACCCTCTCACATCAAAGCCGCCATTTTAACTTGTTTACTCAGAAAAATCTGTATTTTCATAGCTAAATTATGAAATTTTGCAAGTATTGTAACAACTTCATTTTAATTTCCTGGTTAGATATATTATCAAGTAATTAATTTCTGAAAACCTTTTTGAAATTGTCTAAAGAACAAAAACGAAGTTTGTGTTCTCCTGAAGCCAGAATAATTACTGATATGTAAACACAGCCACGATCTTTCGATGTTTGGTGTTTTCTAAACTTAATCATTCAAGTTTTCTTTCAATGTAGTACTCCCAAACCACATGGAAATCTGAGCTAGCTACGGTTTTAATATTACGTTGATTTTCGATGTTTTCTCATGGCATAATTATGTTTTGAACAGGACAGGATTATTGAATGCAGCGAACCGTATATCCAATATGGCACAGGTGAAGCGTAACTCGCGATACCAGTGACCAATGGTAAGGCCAAGAGCAAGTTGCCAATCTCTGTATTATACGTCTCTGGGTATACGTACTCTGCCGTACGTGGCCATCGACTCATCTGTCATCTGCTATACATTTCAACCTGGCCATTATCATTGAAATCCAGGGGTTCTGCACTTGATACAAGTATCTTCTGTGCATTCCTTGGATATGTCGAGATAAATTAATAAAAATTAAAGTAGTCTTTTGTTTTCCCATTAACTAAAGGTGTTTGCCCCCTCTCTAATCCCCACAAATAAAATTCATTTGACAGGTTTTAATTGTACATATATATAACCTGGGTTGACGATGTGTTGGAAGAAGAACATTTTTTTAAAGGGAGGGGAGGGGGAGTAGAAGTTCAAGTGTTTCTGGATGAAGTGTACATATGATTACAGTCTCCTAAATTGTAGCTCCATGCTCTAGATAAAATGTTCCCTTTAGCTACATCTGAAGAGTCGTGGACTGGGAAGCTTGGGGCCTCTGATTCACTCCCCGGTGGAAGCACACTACTCTCTTTCCTGTTACAATCATAATCTCAGAGTGAGCTGAGGGTGTTAAATGATAAAAGTAGAAATTAAAATGCACTAGATTATTGACTAAGGCAGAAGCTAAACATTCATATTTGCGTATATATGTGTTTTCAAAACATGTAAACCATGTTCTAGACTCTGGGCATGAAAAACAGGGAGAACGTTCAAATTAATGAATTAATTACATGTCGGAGCTGAAGAGGCCATTGGGTTTAATATAATGCTGTTTTGGTGAACTATCTACATAGCAGTGATGACCGAGTCGAAATGTGTTTTTGAATCTTCTTTCCAAATGTAATCAGGTCCAGTACACTCTGCTGATTGAGCTATATAGCTGTAAAGACCTATATTGACCTATATCTGAAATAGGTATTTTGAGCTATTTTCAAGTGATTTTCTTTTTTAAGGAAAACGAAACAAAGTCGTGTTTACTAGAAGATCGTATCATTAGGTTGATAACAAAAGACATTAAATATAAGTATTATTTTTTAAAAATAATGATGTAAAAAAATCGGAAATTTTACATTTATGAAAAATGAAAATAAACATCTAACTGTATGTTGTTTGCAGTCAACATTACCATACACCTTATCGTTTTATGCGAATTTGCTTTAATTTATTGAAAATTAAAATCTGAGAAAATATAGCTCAATACAGCTATACTTTATAGGTGAAAATAGGTGAATATAGCTTTATAGGTCTTTATAGCTATAGGTAGCTCAATCGGCAGAGTACTGGACCTGGTAATGTACCCTCAGCGGGGTATCGATACTCCAGCATTAAACATAAAGTCACTTGTGATTTAACAATGACCCTGATATATGATGTATCCCCCTTATTACAGTATTGTAAGTTGCGACAGTGGACCATCAAATCATCATCACCCCCGATTCGACAAATACTGAAATAGTGACCGTGTTGCAGGCAGCAGCGACATAGGTCATTTCTTGATTATCAGAACATGAAATGTACCAGAGAATGTTCTTCTGTGAAAACAAAAACTTTATGTATTGTTCACATATAAAAATTATTGACGTCATACATTAGTTGTGCAGTTTACCTGAACTTTTTTCTTCCCCTGTCCACCGGAGGATCGGTGGTGAGAGGCCATGTTGTGTATTTTGATGTGACGTCATCACTGTTTGTGCAGTCGCAAAAACAACATTTAATTTAATAACTCATTCAGATGAAATTGGTATTTTACTATTATAAATTACATTAATATAATCAATAATTATGTGGGCGAAATGAAAATGAAATTTGTGTCATATTAAAGACTGCTATAGTTAAATATTTTTGATACGAGTTACCTCCCTTAGTACTTCGTATAAACCGCGGGAAACCTATCACGAGAGGTGGGAGGCAGGAATTTTATTTTGATCTTGCCCATACCAGACTGAGAGACATATGAAATTATACAATATATGTCTCTGTTCATACTTTGTAAATATGCCGAGAGGTTTTTAGCTGTCTACGGCGACATGAGCCTTTAGTACAGGATGAAGGAGAAGAACATGTTGAGTTTGTTTCTCACATGTTTACCCGCAATGAAGTGTTACATTAGCGCAGACATTGGGAATGCGATGCACTTATTGAATCAATCATGTAATTTGTATGAAATCATCATGCCGTACGTGTTTCGAGTTAACTAATGTATAAGTAGTATCTCATTTGAAAAGGAAAGGGGTAAAATGTAAAATTCAGCTAACTCTAGCATAACTAAAAAGAAATATATCATCATTTGCATATGAAGCAATATGTCCTTGTACATCAAATCTGGTTACTCCAGGTGAAATACTATAGAAGATATGCCCAGGACAAACATTTTCAAACGTAAAGATCAAATGTCAAGTCATAGGTTACAGCGACCTAATTCTTGCACTCTATCATCCTAAGATGTCTTTGTACAACAAATCTTACTCATGTGAAATAGTAAGAAGATATTCCCCGGATAAATGTTTTCAAAAGTAAGGTCAAAGGTCAAGTAATAGGTCGAAGTGACCTAATTCTTGCATTTTGCACTCAGTCATCCCAAGATGTCGTTGTACACAAAATCTTACTCCAGGTGAAATAGTATAGAAGATATGCCCCGGATTGGTTTGGTTTGGTTTAGTATTGTTTAACGTCCTATCAACAGCTATGGTCATTTAAGGACGGCCTCCCCTGTGTGCAAGATGCATGCGTGTAGTGTATGCGTGTGTGTTTTGGGAGGCTGTGATATGTTCGTGTTTGTCTCCTTGTGATAGCGCGGAACCGATGCCGTCTTTATAGTGCTACCTCACTGAAACATACTGCCGAAGACACCCAGCAGGACATCCCACCCTGCTGGGTGTCTTCGGCAGTATGTTTCAGTGAGGTAGCAGGACATCCCACCCACGCCCTGTAGGTAGGGCGTAAGAATGGTACCTGCTGCCCCCAATTGCATGATCATAAGAGGCGACTAAATTTGGGACCTTATCTCTTCTCTCCTTTCTAAATAATTTTTCTTCTTCCTAATGTCTCCCTTGACGATGCCTCACTTTTGGCCATTTGTTGAGCGTTCGCCCCTATGAGGAAGGCTTTGGGTTCTGTCCCATGGCCGAGACATACCAAAGTCTCTAAAAATGGTAGTTTATACTCCTGTTTAACGCTCAGCAAATTAGGAGTGGGACGACTGGTTTGCCCGTTGTCTGTATAATGTGACCGGGTGGGGCGTCCTGTTGGGTGTCTTCGGCAGTACGTTTCAGTGAGGTAGCACTATAAAGTCGGCATCAGTTCCGCGCTATCCCAAGTAGACAAACACGAACATATCGCAGCCTCCCAAAAAACACACACATACATTACAAGCATGCATCTTGCACACAGGGGAGGCCGTCCTTAAATGACCATGAATTTCGGGTTGCCGGATGGCCCAGTGAATAGCACACTCGCCTTTCACCAAGGTGGCCGGGGTTCGATTCCCTGATCGGATATGAGAGGTATTAAGTCCGCTGCCCGACGACGTGGATTTTCTCCGGGTACTCCGGTTTCCTCCAACACTAAGTTTAGATCCTCTGTGAGCTCCCAACCGCGACAACAAAAATGATTAATGTAACATGGGAAAACTTGTGACATAGATGTTGTAAAATGAGCACAAGTGGCACCTGCGGAGATTGCCACTGCACATTTTCTAATTTCCCACTAATCCATCTGGGCAATGAAGACTCCTGTCTTATTTTTCTTAAGTTTTCTGTCCGCCTTGGGATATTTAACAAGTCTGATATTTGTTATCAGTAATATCCCTCACTATGCTGTCCTTGTTGATCTCATCACTACAACGAAACACGTTGATGCAATGTTAATCTCTGTAGACAGTCCTACCCTGATGGCACTGGCAGAGGTCTGAGACTGGCCAAACATGTTTGAATGTTTCTGGAATGCTCTCGTTTATGAAAGCCAGTCTTTTCGTTGTATGAAGAAGATATGTTTTGTCATGTAAAGATCTCTTGCGTTATCTCTGTTCTATAGGACGTCCGGCCGTATTCGTCTATACCGGACACTGCCAGGCTGGTATGTACTATGGAACTTCACGGTGTCTGACCTTGATGACAATCAACATTTATCCGTTAATGTCTTTATCATAAAAAGTTTCTTTTAGATAAAAACTACAGGTCCCTGGGAATTTATTACATCTATAATTCAAATGGACCTAAACTGAGGTGTTCAGATTAAATTTACACGTCTTAGTGGTTTATATCGACTTTCGGTAACTTTCTCGTATATTATCATCATTGGGTGGCATTTTACCCGAAAGTCGATGTAAAACGTGTAAAATTACTATTGACACCTTACTTTAGGTCCAAATATAGCTGTAACAAATTATCAGGGACTTGGGGTAAAAATCAGTAAGTCGGAAATCTATAAAGGGGCCCATCTCAGCTTAGGATTTTCCAGTCCTATAGTCAGAATAAAAATTGTGTATCTCAATGCTGGGTATAACAGTTATGGGACTGTGAGTATATTTTAACAACTAAATTCCTATTTTGTAGAAACTGTTTTGTGAACCAATCGAAAACAAATCAACTTTACCTTCTTTCTGCACTGTATGACTGAGTCAAATGACGCGAGGATCTGGATATCACAAACGATTTTAAACTCTGTCAAATATTTGTAACTTTATCTTCAAGTCATATATATTGAAAACTTCAATATGTTGTGTTTATTGTCGTCATTTCGACGTCACAAAATGACATGACAGTTTCCTAATTCGTATTCAGTCACACGTGTTAAATGATGAGTATCGTTTTATTAAACATCTTCATAATCATTAATTAAATTTAGTAAAATTTCCCCTAAGATGTTTGGGTTTCAAAATGTAATCCAAAGTGTGTGCGTATACCTTTGTATTAACATGGCATTAGATTGCTATCTAAGTATTTGGTATTAATGAATAAAAATAAAGGGAAGGGCTTGTTAAAATATAAATCTGTTGCATTTTTGGAAAGCAGAAAGGTTCTTAATTAAATTACTAAACTGTAATATGAAAGTTACAAATATGAGAAAATCTAAGTATTTTCCACTCTCCCTTATGCATGCTGAATATGTATTTTGTACCAATAAAAGTATATTATATAATTTCAAGACAACACATAATGATATGCATGTACATGTGTTATAGCCTGGCGCTGGTCATGGTGTCCGGGGCCGAGTTCGTTAAATATATGGCGGGTTACATTTAGACAAGGAAAAGTAAGTTCCTTCTATAAAAGGCACCAGATGAATATGTGAACAATGTAACATGATGATTATTTGGATGTTTATGGATTTGTAGGGAGTAATATTACTCGTTTTAGGAGTTGAGATCAACCACGGACTTAGATAATCTAATTCCGTGGATCAACATTTGGCACCTGGGAACCCCACCCTGTTGTATATTCTCTCCTAATTAGAAACGTACATTTCCCTTATCTAATTGCATTTTTATTATTTTGTATTTACATATTATAAATGGAAGAGAAACATTTTAGTCTGTGTCCACACAAAGGTACTGTATTCACAAATTAATTAATTTTAAGGTAAAAGTTGAGAACGAAAAAAAACCTTAGGGTGCCCCTCCAGTATACAGCGAGAACTCAGCGAGAGAGTGCGAGAAACGTCCTTTTCCGGTAAATCGCCATCATGGGTATGTGTGGAAAATAACGTGACATTTCAATCATCTGCAATCAGCTTTGTATTTCGACATCAATAGCGAAATATTGGTCAAATCAATAAATAATGTTCGGTCTTAACTTCTCATCCACTGTATAGTGTCCGAAATATTCCTGTCGTATTATATTATCCTTTATCCGAGACGAAACCCCCAGTCATTATCGTATGTTTATACGTACACTAAGCAGAGGAAAGAAGTTTACGACTGTGTTCTTGGTGGCAATTTCAAATGCTACATCATTAATCAGCTGATGTGTCCATTCGCAAATTGCCTCACTAATGGGATCAAATTAACTTAAAAATAACCGAAGTTCACTGTCCGTAAATATTCTCCCAACAATCGAAACCTCTCAAGTTGACGTGCTTGTGATGATGAAAAATCTTTCCCCAACTTATCGACATATGACGATGTCAAAGCTGTTACATTAGCCAGATTTTCTGATACAAGCACATGTCCAATTCGTATGATATTTTACAGGATTTGTTATGTAAATTATGTATATCGGACTCCGTTTTTACACCTAATGCATTGTCACCTTCCTACAGTACTCGACTAGAGAGTAAGGAAGAACATCTCTTAATTATCCAAAAATGAAGACTACAAAATAGATAATTGAATTTCATGTTTATTAGGTATCTCAAGAGATAAATGGCACAAGAGGAGGAAGACGGGAGGGCGTATGGCCCAGTTGCACAAGAAGAGGAAGTTTGAGTTGGGTCGTCCTGCCTCAAACACCAAGGTACATGTATATGCTTTTCTGTAAAAAAATAACCAGTCAGTCAACCAATTTAATGTTTCCACATGTAACTTACATGTTGTACAAACTGCACATTGGTAGTCTGTTGACACCCTACTGTTTACACAGATATTTGAAAGAGAACAACAGTTGACTGCCTACTCTCTTAATGGCAGTTCATGGCTACAGACAGTTTGTGCTGGTTTGAGGGGTATT